CCCAGGAGCGAGAAGCCCCCCAGAGGCCCCGGGGGAGGCGGCCTCGCGGGAGGAGGAGGATGAGACGGTGCTGCGGCTCACAAGGGCGTGGGCCGATTCTGACACCAACTCTTCAGTGCTGGGAAGAAGTACAAACTGTGGCGACACGGTGAGCTCTTCTGAAATCTGCCGCTATAACGAAGAGTATTTCAAGAAACTAGGGGAGGGGCTGGTGAGATGGCTCAGTGTTCTAAAGCACCTACTTAGAACAAGCTTAGCAAAGCACAGGGACCCCGGTTCAACCCCCCAGCACCACATGCCAGCCAGCCCCGCCCCCTGGGGGGCTGAGCTGGCCACACACACACACACACACACACACACACACGAATTAAAAAAAAAAAGAAAAGAAAGAAACTAGGGGAGCTGAAGGCCGCTCACATAGAAACTGTGGCAAAGTTAGAGAAAATGTGCCCAAATAAATTAAATATAAAGGAATTTCGGCCAGTGACCATCAGGGAAGATGTTCCTAGCAACTCTTCCAGTTCTGTATCGGAAAATAGTGTCATCCTGTTGTGTTAATGACATCACTTTCAGAGCCAGACCTAGGCCAGTCTTCCTTATTTTTTTTTTCTTTCTTTTTTTCTTTTTTTTTTTTAATTCTTTTTGGACCACTCAGACCACCCTGAGGGTGGAACTGGCGCTGGGCATGTGGCGCTGGGGATTGAATTGCAGTCCCCTGCCCCTGCCCAAGCTTGCCTAAGCAGGTGCTTTAGACCTCCGTGCTACCTCGCCAGCCCCAGTCTTCCTTCTTGTATACTTCTTCCTCTGCAGAAGAGCTGCCCAACCTAGAAAAGGTGCATCCTGGAAAAACAAAATGATGACCTATGCTAAGGAGCTCATCAGCAACATGTGAAAGACTTCTGTGTTGAAGATTATAATCAGGGTGAAGATACTGACTTCCAAGTAACTGAAAAGACAAAAAAGAAACCAAATGGATAGGTGCCCACAATTACAATACCTGTATCTTCCCCCCCCCCCAACCAGGGATTGAACTCAGGCCCTTGCGCTTGCCAGGGAAGCGCTTATTTCACTGAGCCATCTCCCTGGCCCTACCTTTTCAAATGATGAATAGAGAACAGAAGAAAAAACAAGAGGCCATGAAATCTAACTCAGATGTTGAGATAGTACAGAAACTGCTCAATGAAAAAGATTCTGAGTGAAAGAAGAAATTCCGAGCCAATCCAGTTCCTCTGAGTGTCCTCCTTCCCCTTTATCATGAGCTAGTTAAGCAAAGTGAAGAACGAGGAGGGCTAGAAAGGAGAAAAACAAAGAAACTCTTTTGGCCTTACAAAAGCCATTTATGATCCAGCAAAAAAGTATAAAAACATGGTATAAAAAGTAAAGCCATATTAATATGCTGAGCTGTGAAAGGCTCAAGTCAACAACTTCTGACATTGCCAGTCCTATGGCTAACCCACTACTATTATGGCCTACTGGACTATATTGGATTATTTTGCTGAAATCATGCACCTACGATATTTAAATGGCAATGGAATACCCATTTCTAATAAAACTAAACAAAAAAGCAGTACAAAGGAAGGACCATTTTATATCTGCATATACAAAATAGGATAGATATACAGCTACTTTCTCTTAATTGAATGAGAAGAAAGATTTATACTAATAGTATTTGGAGAGGATATCATGTCTGCATCTTGTACTATGAATAACCACTAAGAAGATAACAATATGCAATGTATTAAAATGTATTACTGAGGCTGGTGAGATGGCTCAGTGGTCTAAAGCACCTACTTAGAACAAGCTTAGCAAAGCACAGGGACTGCGGTTCGATCCCCCAGCACCACATGCCAGCCAGCCCCACCCCCTGGTGGGCTGAGCTGGACACACACACACACACACACACACACACACACACACACAAATAATAAACTTTAAAAATAAATAAAATGTATTATTTCAATGTATTATTGAAACTGTCCTATTAATCGGTTTTGAAACTATCTCATTGCTATCTGCTTCTCAATAATATTTTTTTTAAAAAAAGGCATTTACATTTGTTGCAAGGGAAGAACAGAAGCAAGGAGCCCAGGAAAAGCAACTGTGAGATTGTTTCAAGTCTCAAAAGAAAAACATATCAATTTAAAGCCAAACCCATACCTCAATCTATTTAAGGTTCAGCTATCAGCAACAAGTTAGAAGAAGAGCTTCTTGGAACATTAGGACACACCTGAGAGCACAACAGCTTTTACAGAATTCTTCCCCTCTACTTAATAGACCAGGTTACAAACATATCAGAACCCCAAATGTCCTAAACAGGCTGGGAAATTAAGGAACAAACAAAAGGCCAGGTCCCAGACTCCTGAGGCTGAGGACCTTCCTGAGGAGTGTAAAAAACACTTCTCAGAATACAAGTGTCCATGGGGCTGGAGAGATGGCTCAGTGGTCTAAAGCACCTACTTGAAACAAGTTTGGCAAAGCACAGGGACCCCGGTTCAATCCTCCAGCACCACATGCCAGCCAGCCCCGCCCCCTGGTGGGCTGAGCTGGCCACACACACACACACACACAATAAATAAATGTAATAAATAAAAAATAAATAAATATTTAAAAAAAAAAAAAAGAATACAAGTGTCCAAACCTCTCAACGCTCCAGAGACCACTTGATTTCATGTTGCTTTGAGTAAATCTGAGAGGGGCAACAATTTGGCAGATAAAGAAAATTTGAAACACACACGTTACCCTCATCTGTCTCCAAGGCGTAAGTCATCAGGAAGAAATGCAAGTGCAAAGCCTTCTAAGGCTGCAGGCCTCCAGTGCCCAGTGTCCTCCAGAGGATGGGAACAAGCCATCAGAAAGAGTAAAAAGGAAAGGATGAGAGAATACTGATGAGAACTGGAAGAGAAGAAAAATTAAAAATGAGACAACTGCTATTTGAGTTTCTCAGAAAAATGCAAGAAAGGCAGCAGAAAAGCGTTATTCTAAAAAACTAAAAGCACTAGAAATATCTGATGAGTTTGTTTCAAAGAAAAGCAAAAGTGGAAAAGTATTGGAGTACTTCAAGCAATCAAGAGCTGAAAAGTTTCACTGAAGATAAAGCTTTAATAAAGAACAAGTAGAAGAGAGAGAGAATGAGGAAGAAAATTATTGATACCAACAGTCAAGACTGTTGCAAGGATCAAGAGGAAGACAATGAAGAGAGGGGAGAAGTATCTGGTGAAGGATACAACTCTACCAGCAGGGCCTCCTCTCTGTGCCCTGCTGCGTGTGCAACAACCGCACCTGTGATGTGAGGACATCTGAGTGTGTAGGGCCAGTGCACAAAGGCCTTACAGCGGAAGAAGGCTGAAGATTGGTGATTTAATCAGTTAGGGTAAAGTTTTCTGTTTTTTGGCTTATTTAGATATATAAGTACTATTCACTAACCGATTGTGCCACTGGAGTTTCTTCGGCTTATTTAGAATTGCAACATATTGTGGTTTGTTTGCTACAATGATCTTGTATTTTTAAAGTGTCTGGAGAGGCAGGGGAGATGGCTCAGTAGAATAAGCGCTTCACTGGCAAGCGCAAGGGCCCGAGTTCAATCCCCGGTTCCACCAAAAAAAAAAAAAAAAAAAAGTGTTTGGAAAAAAAAGTTTGAGAATCATAGCTGACACAAGTTATAGTATTATATTTGGTGGGGAAGGGGGCTTAGAATTGAGAAGGGGGCTGGGAGTGGTCATGCGCACATGTAATCCCAGCACTTGAGAGGCTGAGGCAGGCAGATATCTGCGAGTTGAAGGCTGGCTGGGGCTATACAGCAAACAAAGCAAAACAAAACAAAGAATTGAGAGAAAAGAGAAATATTTGACCTTTGGTGATTTATTTAAAAGTATAGTATTACTAGAAAACATGAGTCAATAAAGATTTTAAATTTAAAAAAAAAAAAGAAAGAAAAAGGAACGTTGCAAAAGAGCCAGGGAGGGGCCGTGGAGATGGCTCAGTGGAATAAGCGCTTCCGTGGCAAGCACAAGGGCCTGAGTTCAATACCCAGTTCCACAAAAAAAAAAAAAAAAAAAAAGAACCAGGGAGATAGCTCAGTGGCATAGGTCAATCCCCAGTACTGCTTTCTAAAAAAAAGAAAAAAAAGACTGTGAGTGTTTACCTGGTATCATATCCCAAAGACTGGACAGATGATGAAAGGTTGTACACTACAAAGCTTGCATTTCCGTATGAAAGCTGTTGCTAGGTAAAGTCCATGCTTCACTTCTTATACCTTTATTTCACACACTTTTGATCATCCCACGCTTGTACTGCACACTGGGGGTTCTAGGTTTCTGGTGTCATAGTCTGACGTCATTCCCATCATTCACTATTCTTTTCCTGGGAAATATATCCCGTACGTTTTTGTGAACTCTAAGAACCTGTGTGAAATCCTGATACACTTGCATAGTCAGGATGCTGCTGCTTATAGATGACTAACCTAAGAGGAATGATATTTAACCTTCACTCTTATACAACAGAAGTACATGTTATGTAATAGGCAACGGGAACATACAGCTTGCAAAAGTGGAAGGGTAAGAAATAAGTGTAAAACATCTCATTGCTGTTTATCAATAAAATTTTGAAGAAAAAAAAAAGAAATAAGTGTAAAACATACACAGAGGATATGAAAGACAAGAATAAAGAACTCAGATCTATTATACACATGAAACACCTTCCACAGATGAACTATGCACTAAAAATATGTACTAAGAAAATTTGTGAATGTCTTAAAATACTTTTGTTTTTGTGACTGATTAAATATCAAAAGCAGACTTACATGGAGACATATCATGAAAGCTGGCAAAGGGCACTTCTAAATGTATCTGTGAGGATCTTTCTAGAGAAACTGATACAAGTCACAGAACCAAAAAGGAAATAATTGTCATAAGAAAAATTGGTGTCATCCAATTTGCGAAAGGGTTTGTGAATCAAAAACACAAACATAATCTTCATCACACTTGAATTTTCTTAGCATATGCTTTTTTTTTTAAACTATATGACAATGGACAAATAGATCAGACATTTATTGAAAAACATGATGCAATGAATACACTTTGGGATATCTCCATCTGGGAGAGTGTTTTCCGGAAAATCAATGAACAAATTTTGACATAAATATTTTTAAATTATTTCTACTCATCTCTACATGAGTGATTTTCAAAATAGCTTTATACATGTGAAATTTCACTTCATTGTTATTTCACACATTTGACAATACCCATGTGTAGTGAATGCTTTTCCATTCTGTATATATAGGCCTTGGCCACAATATGACATCTTCCTTTTCTTTTTTTTTTTTTTTTTTTGGCAGAACCAAGGATTGAACTCAGGCCACAAGAGCTAATATGACATCTTTCTGAAGGTTAGCATCTTTGTCACCTGAATTCCCTCCTCCATATTTCTTATAAGCAATTATTCCCCAATGAGGGGAACTTTGTACTTTAACGTGGAAACCTTGCAATAGATGTGTTGTACACTGTCTACATACATAGGGTTTCTCCCTTGTATTCCCAGTATGTGATAGAATTGTTGTGTGCACTGTATGCTTTCCCCCATAGTTCAGATGTATTGGATACATTCCATTGTAAATTCTCTTATGTTTTTGACACTATTGGTAGAAAGATTTCTCACATTGCTTACATGCACAGGATTTTTTCCCCCTTGACAGTTTTCTCATGTCTTTGACAATGACTGTGTCAACTAAATGCTTTCCCAGTCCTTAAATATATAGGGTTTCTCCCTATTGTGAATTCTGTGATGTATTTGCAAACTACCATTTTGGCTGAAAGATTTGTCACATTACTTCCATACATGGGATTTTTCCTCAGTATCAATTCTTTCATGCACAAGGTCACTGTTTATGCAGAAACGTTTCATACATTGCTTACATATGTTGAGTTCCTGGTACTTCACAACACTTTTTTTGTACTGAAGGCATTTCCACAAAATTTACATACTTAGGCTTTTTCCCCTGTATGCTTATGTACATAGTTTCTCCACACTGTGGGATCTTTTATGTTTACAAAATACGAACTTATTAACAAATCCTTTGCCACATTGCTCACATATATATGGTTTCCCCTCAATGTGAATTCTTTCATGACTCTGACAGTATCTGTGTGCACTGAATGCTTTCCCACATTGCTTACACACATAGGGTTTCTTGCCAGTATGAACTCTGTGATGTATTTGCAAGCTACTATTTCTGCTGAAAGATTTCCCACATTGCTTACAAACATAGGGTTTCTCCCCAGTGTGAATTCTTTCATGCACTAGAAGGTGTCCATTTCTGCTGAAAGATTTCCCACATTGCTTACATAAATAGGGTTTCTCTCCAGTATGAATTCTTTCATGTACTAGAAGGTTACTATTTTGATTGAAAGATTTCCCACACTGCTTACAAACATAGGGCTTCTCCCCCGTGTGAGTTCTATCGTGTCGCTTAGAAGATGTCACTGTACTGAATGTTTTCCCACATTTCTTGCATTCATAAGGTTTAACCCCACTGTGGAATCTTTTATGTCTACAAAACATAGACTTATTAACAAATCCTTTTCCACACTGTTCACATATATATGGTTTCTCAGGGATGTGAATTCTTTCATGATTTTGACAGTATTTCTGTGTACTAAATGCTTTGCCACACTGCTTGCATTCATAGGGTTTGTCCGAAGTGTGAATGCTTTCATGTACTAAAAGGTTACTATTCTGGCTAAAAGATTTCCCACACTGCTTGCAAACATAGGGCTTCTCCCCCGTGTGAGTTCTATCATGTCGCTTGTAAGATGCCACTGTACTGAACAATTTCCCACATTTCTTGCATTCATAAGGTTTAACCCCGCTGTGGGATCTTTTATGTCTATAAAATATGGACTTACTAACAAATCCTTTTCCACATTGCTCACATATATATGGTTTGTCAACGATGTGAATTCTCTCATGATTTTGACAGTATCTCTGTGTACTGAATGCTTTCCCACATTGCTTACATACATAGGGTTTATCCTCAGTATGAATACTTTCATGTCTTTGACATAAACTGTGTGTACTGAACCCTTTCCCACATTGCTTACATATGTAGGGTTTTTCCCCAGTGTGAGCTCTTTCATGACTATGACAGACACTGGACCTGCTGAACGTTTTGCCGCAATGCTTACATACAAACTTTTTCTCCCTTGTGTGGGATATTCTATGTCTAAGAAATGAGGACTTATCACAAAATTGTGTTCTGCATTGCTTATATACATAGCATATATCCACAATGTGATTTTTTTCACATTTTGGAAAGGAATTATTGACAGTTAATGCTTTTACACATTTTCTAGTTATATAGGGCTTCTCCTCACAATCTCTTCTTTCAAAGTTTTGGATCAGGTATGAAGAAATAAAACTATCCTCACAGTGTCTGTATACATATGGAGTCCCCAAACTGTAATTTCTTTTATGGATCTGAATACCCCTGGGTGCTGTGGAGGCTTTTGCAATTTTCTTACCTACAAAGATTTTCTGCACAAGATGAGTCCATTCACTAAAATCAGATTTGGCCTCCCCACACTGCCCATATTGATAGGGTTTCTCTTCAGCCTTCCTCAATTCATGCTTCTGAAATGACTGAAACTCATTGCACACTTTTCCACATTCATTACATTTGCACAAATTCTCTTCATATTTAAAATAATTGTCTGTACCACATCTGTAAAGGACAAATAAGATATCAATCACAATGAAAATGTCTCCACATCAACAATTCTCATTTACGAGAACAAGTGTGCTTTAATACCTGGTAAGAAATTTTGATGATGAATGGGATGAATTTCACTTGAGAATTTTAAATTGGTATATGGCTCTAAGACACAATATAAAGTCTCATTTTAGGTGATGGGAACATATGTGTATCAAATAGTGATTCATTTTTAGGTATTCTCACCAATTCTATTCTATCTATCTATCTATCTATTATGCATTTAGTACAGGGTCTCATTACACAGCTTGGACTCATAATGATCCTCCTATTTTGAGCCTTCCCAGAGCCAGGATTATAGGAGTGCCCCAACATGCCCAGTATCGGTGGCCGGCACAGCATCCTGGGATCAAACCTCAGTTCCCGCGTTTGCCTAAGCAGGCAGTTAGTCTGCAAAGCTACCTCACTAGCCCTCATCTTCTCTATTTAAACTGATCATCTCTTCCATTTCCCAATAGTTACCTTTTTTTTTTTTTTTGCCACATGTCCTTACATTTACTCTCTAAATATACTTTTAGTTTCTAATGTGAGATCTCTTTCTTTCTTTCTTTCTTTCTTTCTTTCTTTCTTTCTTTCTTTCTTTCTTTTCTTTTTTTGTATTTGTTACAGGGTCTATAGGGTCTCACTACACAGATCCGATTTTTAGTGATTCTCCCGTTCTCAGCCTCCCAAGCACTGGGATTAGAGGTACGTACTACCACGTCCAGTCTCAATCCTCCATCTCAGTGCACCCCAGGGGCAGGGCCGGCACAGCACACTGCGCTGGGAATTGAATGCTATCTCAGCTTTAGTCTGCTGAGATATCTGGCCGGCCCTAACATTATTGTCTATATAGGGTGTTTTTTTTTTTTTTTTTTTTCTTTTCAGTGATGAGAGCTAAACACAGGTCTTAGCACTGAATTACACTGGCAGATTAATTATTTATTTGCAGAGAGCTTCCTATTAACCACTGACTTGCTAAGACTGACCTTCAAGCTGTCATTCTGTTGACTCAGCTTCTCAGAGTGCTAGGATTACAAGAACACACCACTGTGCCAAGCTGACCCCATATTTTCTTTACGGCTCTTTCCAGAATATAAATATTTTGAATACCCGTTCATGTTCTCCTTTGAATACACTGCATGGATCACTAAAATTTGATGACTAATACTGCAATCTCAACATTCAGGAGGCTGAGGCAGGAGGATCACTCTGAGGTTTAGGCCAGCCAAGACTACTCAGTAAATTCAAGGCCAGCTTGAACTACAATGTGAGACCCTGGTTCAAAAAGTGAACAATTGGGCTGGGGAGATGGCTCAGTACAATAAGCACTTGCCTGGGAAGTGCAAGGGCCTGAGTTCAATCCCCGGTTCTGCCAAAAAAAAAAAAAAATTTTTTTATTCTTTTATTTAGGGCCGGGGAGATGGCTCAGTGGAATAAGCACTTCCCTGGCAAGTACAAGGGCCTGTGTTCAATCCCCAGTCCCGCAAAAAAAAAAGTGAACAATTATTCCCATTGAGGTATACCTGAAACAACTAGAAACTTGTATTTTTTTTATGGTACCTTTTTATATTGATTATAATAATAGCTTTTTATGTTCTGACAAATAATGTATGACAGTAACTTCTAAGAATTTTAAACATCAATGGATCAATATTCTGGAGGATGTTTACAAAGAACTTAGCAAGGCAACACTAACATTCATTTGCATTTGAGAAATGTGCTTCCATGTGAGAAATTTTCTAATCATGAATGTTTCATATTCATGTAAACACATAAATATTTTGAAGGTAAGTTTCTTTCAAACTTCAAAATCTATCATTTCCTACATGTCTGCAAACAATAAATACTTAAATGCAATCTCACACATTTTTGTGATGTTGATCATGACGGAGCTTTTTGTACTGATATATCAGGTAGTGTCATTTGTTGCTTTGTATCAATACATCACTTTCCTATATTCAAATGTTTTTGTGGATTGACAGATAATAAAACATTAGATCGGGATATTTTGTGAGGACAAATAAAATGGAACATGGTCTCATTTCTTCAGTTTCCTTGGTTATGTATTTCAGCTCACATGCTGACATTTCAGAAATATTCCATTTTTATAAATGAAAATTACCTTAGATTTACTAAGTACTTTTTGTGCTCTTCTTCAGTATGTTGGTTAACCCAGGTTGTGCCTGTATGGTAGACACAGAAATAGGAAAAATCAGTATAACATTATATATATAAATTTATAGATTAAAAAAAGAAAAAAATTCATAGATTCATTATAATCACATATAATGTAACCAGTCTTGAGATATACTTCAAAATTTTATAAAATTTAATTTCAGGAAGCAGAAATTAATGCTCTATGTGTGTATAAATAAGAAAATGATATCATCCTTACCTATAGCATCAATATTCATCAGTGTTTCCCACATCACACTTCTGTAGAGCTTCTTTTGGGATGGATTCAGCAAATCCCACTCTGCTGAGCTGAAGTTCACAGCTACGTCCTCAAAGGTCACTGTCTCCTGAATAATGACACAGTTCCTGAAGTTCAGCCACATGACCTGATATATCTCAGCTCCTCTCATACAAAGCTCAATGAAGTGAGGATTATTCTTTCAAATGTTAATTGCATGTCTTGGTCATCAATCCCATGTGCATGCAAATATTTTTACATGGTAATTCTGCTGCTAGACTTCAACACACTGCCAAAGCAACCACAGAACAATAGCACTGCTTGCATGCAGGGTCACCGCGTTTGCACTTGTGCGCTGTCTTTAAGCAAAGCTCATAGGGAAGCCTGCAAATTATCACTGAGAAAACACAGAAGGAGAAAAACAACTAATGAAAGTTTCTGATGCACCATGAATTATATATCTATTTTCACATCTGATTATTTGTTGCACTGAGTCCATCTTTTTTTGTACTTATCATTTAGAATCCTGACTCTGTTTTCATGGAAAAATATTTAATGTAATATTAAATAAAAATTGTGAATACTTAAAAATGAATGGAGACAAATGTTTATTTGACCAGTCTACAGACAATGAAAGTATGGAAAGAGTAACTTATAAACTAATAGCTCATGGATATCAAATTATTTCCTTGTACTTGAATACAGGAAATTAAAAAAAAGAAAAAAGGAAAGAAAATGAATACAGGAAATTATGGGGGCTGAAGAGATAGCTCGGTGATCTAAGTGCCTGCCTAGTAAGTGCAAGGACCCAGGTTCAATCCCCAGTACCACATGCTGTGCTGGCTCCAGAATCCAAGGGGTGCCATAAAGGCCACTGAAACCAAGTGTGGTGACACACACCTGTAACCCCAGCACTGGGGAGTCTGAAACAGGAGGATCACTACGAGTCTAAGCTGCACAGCAAGACTCTGTACCAAATAAGAAGGAAGGAAGGAAGGAGAAAGAAGAAAAATTCTGTGATGGAATAAGATAGGATAATATGGAATAAAATATAACTGAAATATATGAAAATCGAGATACTGTAAGTAGCTAATCACTAAATACAAAAGGAAAACTTCAGCCCAGTAAGGTGGCACAGGCCTGTTCTTTCAGCACTTGGGAGGCTGATGTAGGCAGACTGCCATGAATTTTAGGACTGCCATGAGTTCAATGTTCAGGTTGTCTATGTAGTAAGGGCAGTCAGGATTACAATGTGAGATCCATCCTCAAACTTCTACACAAAAATAAAATTAAAAATAATGCTAAGTCACTTACCATTCACACTTTCAATTTGTTAAAAAAAAAATTGTAGCTGTATGGTTGAATAAAAGATTGTAGGCATTCAATAAGTTGTGAACAATGTGACACCTTGCATACTAAAAGACATGAAATGATAGACATTTAAATTCCAACTTTCTAATCGGTGTATGGTTAATAGAGAATGACAAATGGATCTTAGGAATGGGAGAAAAGCTTCCATGTATCCACATATAAAGTTGATATTATTTCATGATTCAGGGGGCCTGGTCCTAGCTCAGTTGTTTAAGTGGCTGCTTCCACAAAGCTGTCAGCCTCAGGTTGCTGTAGTTCGATCCCCACAACACTAGCCAGCCAAACCTGCCCTGAAGGCATTCAGAGCAAAAAAAAAAACCTTATTTCATGATTCAACAGATGCTATACATTTGTGGAACAAAGCACAATGGGTTTCATTTACATTCAGAGAGAAAGAGGTCTGCACTTAGAAATCTGGGCTGCATATTCTTCTAGCCACATATATCAGTTATCTATTGGAATGGAAAATATAAACTTGAATAGCTGTAGAAATTATAGAAAAAAAAATTATAGAAGAAAAAACAGTCATTGAAAATAAGTGTTTCCTCAGTAAAAAAAATCAAGTAGCCATCAGAATTAGGAGAAATTGAAATCTATGGAAATCAAGAAAATGTTCACTGGTTTAACAATATAAAGGTTTTGTATACAGGAATTAAGATAAATGAACACAAATCTAAAAATAAAAATCTTTATTAGGTATACCTATTCTTTATTAGGTATGCTTTTGCATGAAGAACATTACATTCAGAGAGAAAGAGGTCTGCATTTAGAAATCTGGGCTGGGGAGATGGCTAGGGAGATGGCTCAGTAGAATAAGCGCTTGCCTAGCAAGCGCAAGGGCCTCAGTTCAATCCCCAGTTCAAAAAAAAAAAAAAAAAAAATCTTAACTACAGTATGTCTGACTCAAGAGAAACTAAAGCAAAGGCAAAAGTCAAATCCCATTTGGGAGAACCACCGATGAAAATTGAAGTGTGGAAGAGCAAAATAAGTAGATGTTTTCAAGAACTGAGAATCAGCTGTTACATTCTACACTTTTTCTTTACTATGGAGTTTTTGAAATCCCGCAGATGAGTGGCTTCTTTCTAAAGTCTAGAAAACACACTGTGCTATTATTCCTGGGAACAGATGTGATTCTTTCCAAGAAAAATTAAAAAGCGAGGAACTGTGTGACCAACAGATTAAATGAGAAAGTATTTTGGCCTTGGTTCACTTATCAATCCTTGCGAACAATCATGAGAAGTAAATAAATAAACACTACAAACCTTCACAAAATAGCCCTCCATTCAATATCTATAATACTCACTCAAAACTTAATAGAAAGAAGCTAAAAGAATGTTCTTCTTCTCAAGTCTGCATCTTGTACAGCAATTAACCACTAAGAAGAATATATACAGTGTATTATTTGTTGAAACTGTACTTCCGATTTGATTTGAAACTGTCTCATTGCTGTTTATCAATAAAATTTTGAAAAAAAAAAAAAAGAATGTTCTTCATGCAAAAGCATACCTAATAAAGAATAGAGGCCGGGCTGGGCCAGAGCAGCCCAAGATGGTGGACTTTGAGGATCAGGTGTCGGATGACGAGAAGGTACGCATAGCTGCTAAATTCATCACTCACGCACCCCCAGGGGAGTTTAATGAAGTACTCAATGATGTCCGGCTACTACTTAACAAAGACAATCTCCTCAGGGAAGGGGCAGCTCATGCATTTGCCTAGTATAACATGGATCAGTTCACACCTGTGAAGATAGAAGGATATGAAGATCAGGTCTTTTTTTTTTTTTTTAATGTGTGGTGTGTGTGTGTGTGTGTGTGTGTGTGGCCAGCTCAGCCCACCAGGGGGCGGGGCTGGCTGGCATGTGGTGCTAGGGGATTGAACCTCGGTCCCTGTGCTTTGCTGAGCTTGTTCCAAGTAGGTGCTTTAGACCACTGAGCCATCTCACCAGCCTGAAGATCAGGTCTTAATTACAGAGCCTGGTGATCTGGGTAATAGCAGATTTTTAGATCCGAAAAACAAAATTTCCTTCAAGTTTGATCACTTTCGGAAAGAAGCAAGTGAACCCCATCCAGAGGAAATAGATGGAAGTTTGAAGTCTTGAAGAGAATCCTGTGACGGTGCTTTAAGAGGATAGTTTGCATAGAAAGCTACACAAAAAGATATATCAGCGTAGCACTGATTCAACCAAATCTGACACTATCATAGCTTCCCAATATTAAACATGCACCTCAAAGTAAACAAGGATTACAGTGATCATATAATGATAAAATCAGCAGTTTTCCTAAAAACAAATTACATTCTTTTTTTTTTTTTTTTTTTGTGGAACCGGGGATTGAACTCAGACCCTTGTGCTTACCAAGGAAGCGCTTATCCAGTGAGCCATCTCCCCGGCCCCAAATTACATTCTTTAATACATGTCACACTAATTAGAGCAGCAAACTACATAAACAAAAGCAGGAATGAAAGGGGAAAAAACATATCTACAGCTATAAATTTGAGAATTCAAAACAACTTCTTTAAGAATAAAAGAAGCTAACGGAGGCAGAGAAATCTTTAACAACACAAATAAAAGTTCAACAAGATTATAGTTGAAAGGAATTTATCACATGGTTTTTTTATAATATTTTGTCATTCTGTCTTCTAATATATCTGGGAAATGGACTGGGGAGATGGTTCAGTGGAATAAGCGCTTCTATGGCAAGTGCCAGGGCCTGAGTTCAATCCTCGGTTCGGCAAAAAAATCAGAAGTATTCACCCAGTAGCCCATGTTCTGAGCAAAAATAAACAACTCAGTCAAATGGGTAGAAACCATGCAGAACAAGCTCTCAAACAATAGTGAAACAGAGGGCTGGTGAGATGGTTCAGTGGTCTAAAGCACCTACTTAGAACAAGCTCAGCAAAGCACAGGGACCGCGGTTCAATCCCCCAGCACCACATGCCAGCCAGCCCCGCCCCCTGGTGGGCCTAGCTGGCCACACACACACACACACACACACATAAATAAATAAATAAATAAATTTTTTTTTTAAAAAATAGTGAAACAGAATTAGAAATGAAAAGCAGGGCTGGAGAGATGGCTCAGTGGTCTAAAGCACCTACTTAGAACAAGCTTAGCAAAGCATCAGGGACCACGGTTCAATCCCCCAGCACCACATGCCAGCCAGCCCCGCCCCCTGGTGGGCTGAGCTGGCCACACACACACACCACACACTCTCCCCCCCCTCTCTCAAATAAATAAAAAATTAAAAAAAAAAAAAAAGAAAGAAATGAAAAGCAGAGGGCTGGGGAGATAGCTCAGCAGCATAAAAGCCAGCCTCATAAGCGCAAGGGCCTAAGTCAAATCTCCAATGCTGCAAAAAAGAAAAAAGAAAATGAAAAGTAGAAACATATTTAGAACACTCTTAAAGATGAGAGAGTAAAGTACAAAATTTTAAGTGACACATGTTTCAAGTGAATGGCTTACTTAGTTTTGAAGGATTTTCCAACGTTTGACAATGAATGTATATTTCCAATTATTTGAGAGACTTAAAATGGGTGCTTCCAAACATATTAAAACAAATCAATGTGCACTTTGGAAAAGAACTAAGGTATCAATTTCAGAAAATTAGCAAAAACAGGGCAGAAGAACCTCTGCAGCCGTTGTATGAGGTGAATGCATCCTATAACTCTGTGTCAGGTTCTTTGGGAAATCTGAGACTAGGGCCAACAGTGGCCTTACGAGGGCCATCCCTGAACCTCTGG